CGGCCACTGCACTCCAGTCTGGGCGACAGAGTGAGACTCCAACTCAAAAAAAAAAAACAAAAAAAAATTAACATATATTAATTTGCTGAAAATGTAGACCAAAAATTGTTAATAGGAGAAAAATAAATCTCCACCTGGTTAGCAACTTGGACCATAAATGATTAGCTTTTGTATGGCTCTTGTATAGCTCTTGTATGATTAGTACTTGTATGGTTTAAATATTTGCATTTAGTTGATTCAATTTCCTTTCAGTAGTTAAACACCGTAAACTTGAAAAGAAATTTTTTTTCTATTCCTTTTGCAGGTTTTTGTCATTTTTATTTGCTATTATGTTGTTTGCCACTTGTTCCCAAAATTTTTGTGGTGTCTACCACAGTCTTACCATGTTCTTATAATAACCTGCAAATATTTCTCACCTTTTCACTCTCTCACATACACTATGCACTCTCCTGAGGTGTGTGTGTGTATATGCATACATATATGAGGGCTTTTGTGATTATTTTACCAAATTGTGGTCTTACTATATACAATTTTGGTTTCTTTTTAGCCATTCAGAAGTTACTTCAGTCATGGAATGATCTCAAGCCATATAACTGAAAATAGGTAAGAGTCTTTCTCAAGGAAGAAGGGTGACTACTGATGGAGAAAATGAGATTTACAAGGTGTATATGGGGGAGCATCCAAGTCCAGAAGCTGGAGTCAGGAAAATATGAGTTGATTTCTGTTAGCATAGGGCAAGAAATCTGTTTCACTGCTTTTATAAAATTTTTTTATTTTATATTTTAATTTCTATAATTTTATAATTCTAGCTTTTAAAACACTGCAGCCAGCCGGGCTCAGTGGCTCAGCCTGTAATCCCGCGCCTTGGGAGGCTGAGGTGAGTGGACTGCCTGAGCCTGTGGGTTCGAGACCCACCAAGGCAACTTGGCGAGTCCTCATCTCTACAATAAATCAAAAAATTAGCTGGGCGTGGTAGCACGTGCCTGTAGTTCCAGCTACTTGGGAGGCTGAGGTGGAAGAATCACTGGAGCCCAGCAGGTCGAGGTTGCGGTGGCCAGGAGTGGCCACTGCACTCCAGTCTGGGTGACAGAGTGAGACTCCGACTCATAAAATCAAACAAACACTACAGCCTACTAAAATCTAAAGAGAGGAATTTTTAAAATTTCACTCCTAGCTCAGGAAAGCAAGAGAAACTAATGTTCCAGGACTGGACAGGGGAGCAACAGTGACTTGCAGGGAGTTAGAAGATGAGGCATAAAGATCCAGCACCACGAAGAAGATGGGAGCAGTAAGCCTTCTGAAGTATTTCCTTCCCTATCTCTCTGTCATGATCAGCAGGAGATACTTCCTGTGATGGAGAGAGAAGAGTAAAACTTTCCTCTTCCTTCTTTCCCCAATTCCAATGTAGTCTAAAAATGGTGACACAAACTACCCTGTCTGGGGTTCTGAGTCATATTTCTTTCTGCCCAGAGTGTCACTTAGCTTGAATTAAGCTCAGAAGAAAAATCATTCATTTTTACTTTTAAGAGTCCCTGTTGGCCTGAAGCTTAAGGTAGTATTTTTAAGAGTAATTAAAACAAATGCAAAGAATTTTTTACGTGATGCGCTTATTAAGGGCAATTTAGGGAAAGTGTAAGGGATACAGTCATCAAATATTTGCTGAGAACATAATGACATACCAAACGAGAGATACATGAGTTTAAAAAAAATGGAGGAAATATGGTCACTGCCCTTATGAAGTTTATGTTATGGCGGAGAAATAAACAACTGCACAAAGAAATCTGTCATTACCAACTCTGGTGCCATGAGAGAGAAAAGAACATGGTACTATAAAGCCCATCATGAGAAAGCCTGGCCTCCTCCAGGGGAGTGCTGAGTGATGAGCAGAGATAACTGGGAGGAGAAGGAAGAGCAGAGGCCCTGAGACAAGATGTGTCCTAGAAGATGAGCTTGGCTGGAGTATGGGAACTGGGGGAGAGTGGCTTTACATGTAGCTGAAGAAGTTGACCAGATCATATAGGTCTTGGTTGGCCATATGCAAGATGTTGGCCCTTCTCCTGAAATAACAGTAAAGGCAATAAATGCGTTGCATGTTTAAAAGATTATCATCACTCCAGTGTAGAGAATAGATTATAGGAGGGCAAGAGCAGAAGCAAGATAACAGTGAGAAGGTGTCACAGTTGTCCAGGGAAGCAGTGATAGCAGCGTGGACTAGGGTTGTGGCCATGTAGATGGAAGGAAATGGATAAATAGGATTGAGTTGGGGGAGGCTGATTGGATTTAAAGAATGAGGGAGCAGAAGCCAGTAAGGCCTCTCAGATCTGGCTTGATCCCTGGATAGATCATGATGCTGCTTATTTCCTGAACTGGAGGGGCAGCAGATCATCACAGAGGAGGGGGGAGAGAGAGCAGAGAGCTGGTGGTGAAACCCGGGACTATTCAGAGGCCAAGTATAAGAAGAGAATGACAGACTGGGAGGACTGAGCAGCAACAGCTCTGGCAGTGAAGGGCGTCAAGTGCATTTGAGAAACTAAGGACGGAAGGCCTAAAAGTGTCTGTTGGATTTGCCATACGCTACATGAAAGTTACTTGGTGACTTTGGTAAGAGCTTTCCAAGCGAAATGGCCGAGGGGGTTGACTAGATGAGCTGAGAAGTGAGCAGAACATGGGGGCAGGGGGAGTCCAGCCCAGAGAGGAGGGAGAAGGGGGACTGCTGCAGGGGCAGGTAGCTATGGTACTGAGAACATTTGCAGCCCTCCTCTGCTCCCTCCCTCCTGAAAGTGGTCAGGAATTGGTAACTGCCTATCTAGTCTGAGTATCACAACCACTGTCATTCTTTAAAACTTGTATTTCTAGTAAAATGCTATTTTTTAAAACGGGTTTTGCTCTGTGACTGCATCATGGACAGTAAACGTATGGAACTTACTCTTCAAAAAGTAGGACAATCTGAACATATAAACCTAACTTGGGTTTAGTTATGTCCCTAAATGACTGATCCCTATGGTCAGTGGGAAGAGTCAGAGACATCCATCTGGCATCCCTTCCCAACCAGCCAGGAACATTAGGTAGACTGTACTCTCCACTTTGCTCAGACTGCAGGATGTTGCTCAGAAAAGCTTGAGGACTCTGTAAGGTCATGGGAAGCTACCTTGGCCAGGAAGCTCTTCTGTTCTCATGTTTTTGACTTGCCTTTCTAGCCCTAATAGACAGCCATTCGTTCTCTTTGGTAATCACTCTACACGAGAAAACCTGAATGCTGGCAACTTTAACTTCCCTTCCGAAGGGCACCTTGTACGCAGCACTGGTCCTGGTGGGAGCTTTGCCAAGCACATGGTAAGTGGCTGGACTGCTTGGTGTTTGATTTATTTTATTACCAAATGGGAGGGAGGGGATCTGGACAGAAGGAACCTTTTCCAGTTAGTGAGTTGATTTAACCTTGAATCTGAAGGGGTTGGGGAATAGAAAAAAGTGATTAGAAACTGATTGTATGTATTTTTACATGATTACTAGGTATGATTTGAAAACATTGTATTTGGTTTTAAAATGTTTGAAGGAAAAAGTTTAAAAACATACTTTCACAAACCACTCTTTAAGTTGTCAGAGTAATATTGTCATTAGAAGAAACATTTCAAATTAGTTTGAAAATAGACAGTCACTCCAAGCCTAAGTTTGTTATGGCTTAACTGTTACATTTAATGACATACATTTTGATGATCATTATTTATTGAGGGTGCTAAGGAGAAGATTTTTGCATTTGATGGTATATTGTCTGTTACATTCTTTTCTTTTTTTTTTGAGTTGGAGTCTCACTCTGTTGCCCAAACTACAGTGCAGTGGCCGCTCCCCACTGCAGCCTTGACCTGCTGGGCTCCAGCAATCCTTCCGCCTCAACCTTCTGAGTAGCCGGAATTACAGGCGCGCGCTACCACGCCCAGCTGATTTTTGATTTATTGTAGAGATGAGGTTTCGCCAAGTTGCCCAGCCAGGTCTCGAACCCACGGGCTCAGGCAATCCACTCACCTCAACCTCCTAAAGGCGCGGGATTACAGGCTGAGCCACCAGGCCCAGCTATGTTACATTCTTTTAAAGGAAACATTAGACCTGAACATGGGACTCTAATGATTATAAAAGTCAATACTATCTTAATGGAATTTTAAGTATTCTCAAAATATCCCTGGCAATCTCGAAAGCTGGGTAGAGTACTGTCATTCTTTATTTGGAAAACATGAGAGGATACAGCTTAATCTTTCTAGGTTGAGACCCCAGATCTGCCTCTAAGCCAACCCAGGATATAGGGCTACCAGAATGGGTGTACTTTCAGGATCTTGCTGCTATGTAAAGGGTGGACTCAGACCCCCCATTTAAAGCCTAGAGTGCTGTTGGAATACATAGAAAATGCCAGACATATAATCTTACTTGTTGACTACACATATTAAGTCAAAACTAGAGGAGACAATCTGCTTTCTGCTTCTAGAAAAATGGAGTAGGCATGTTTTTCCCCACTCCTCTGACAAAATACAACTAATAACTCAGGACATTACATAGAAAACAAAAATAAGAAGACTGAAAGGTGGCAAGGAGGAGGCAGACTGGCTAAAGACCTCAGGACCAAAGGGCTAAGATGGAGGTATATTCTTTGGATTTTCTTTTTGCCTGTATATCCCAAACTGCACACTGGAGAACCTGGTTACCTGGAAAATATGAAGAGTTTCAGACAACTTCACAGCAGCTGGAATGGATTTAGAGTCCATCATACTCAGTGATCTATCACAGAAACAAAGAACTGAATACACGTGTTCTCACTCATAAGTGGGTCCTGAACATTTATCACAATACTGCAAGAGAGTACTATAAGTGAGGAATCAGCAGTGATGGGACACTGCCCAGGGTGAGGTTGGGCAGCGGGGAGGGCACATGACATCACTAAGGGTGCCCGGTCCTAAATCAGGTCAAGTGAGGACCAGTTGGGAGACCCAAATTTCACCTGCATGTAGACCACTTACATACCTAACCCTGACTTGTACAGCACATCTTTACAATAAAATAAATTTTAAAAAGAGTTACAGACCAAAAAAGCCCCAGGAAAGCCTACTCTCTCAAGCCAGAGGACCAGGAAAGATGTAGCCTAGCAAGACAGAAAACTTTTAGACAACTTCTCTACTCTAGCCAACAACTTCTCTACTCTAGCCAAATGCCGCAGAAAAACATGTTCGCTCCGTCCCACAAAGGCTGAGTGAAAAAGCTAGATGTATTCCCTTGCCAAACTGTAATGAGGTGTCTCCCCTGCTCTAGCCCCCCACAGAGTAGTGTCAGAGTGGGGACCTGGACTTCCACCCCCTATACAGCAATAACAAGGTACTTCTCCTTAGGGAGTGTCATGGGGGAGTCAATGGAGTATCAAGACTCTCACCACCACTCAGCAATAACAAGGCTACCCCACTATCCATACCCCCCCCACACACACAGGTGGCAATAGAGACTGGAGAACCTGGATTTCTGCTCCCACTTGGCAGTAATGAGGCAGTGGGCCCCTAGTTTACCCTTTAAGGTCAAGAGATCTGCTAAAACACAAGGTTTAAATAAAACTAAGAGAACATATCCAGTTTCAGCTCTGATATGGAAAGAGCTTAGAAATCATCCCTATACAAGAAGAAAGCTGAATTGATGACTTTTCTTGGACTCCAGAGAACTAAGATCTCAAGGCACACTGCTACCCTGAAATCTGGAGAGAGAGGTAAATCCAGAGAGTCACAGCCATTATCTGATTAGCTGGAGCAGAAGCCACTGGAGTTATAAACTGCTAGGAACACTTAAGTGGTAGTTTTGATGAACTCCTGAAGGCTTAATGTGAACTAGAATGGGAGTGAGAAATTCCTGGGGGACACAGTCTTAGAGGAGCTCCACACACTCATGGGTTTACTTGCAGGAACCTCAGCAGGTTATCATGGTGAAAAACCAAGAAAATTCCCCTCGTGACTCTGGTGGGTAAAGGAGAAGAGGAACCATTTTTGAAATATGATAAAAGCCATAACAAAGGCCTCCATAAAAAGACCTATTCCCCGGGATTAAAGACTACCTGAGCCCTGTCCTATCTGGGTGGAGGACATTTCCCTGACTCCAACACACTCTACACTTCCTGTACAGGGATAGTCATGATCTTTGCCTCCAAGGTCTCACAGACTACTAGGAGAGCCAATGTAGATGGTGCTAGAAAATGTTTGGAGCAATAATTTAACTATCTATGACATGCTTATTAAAGTGACTAAAATTCAAAAGGATGACAACACCAAATGATGGTGAGGATGTGGAGCAGCAGGAACTCTCATTCATTGCTGATAGTAATATAAAATGGTGCATCCATTTTGGAAGGCAGTTTGGCAGTTTCTCACAAAACTAAACATACTCTTGGGCAACCCCTTTGGGTTCCCTCCCACTGTGGGAGCTTTTCTGTCCTCAATAAATCTTGCTTTCAAAAAAAAAAAAAAACAATAAACGAAACATTCTCTTACATAAGATCCAGCAATTATGTTCCTTGGATTTACCCAAACAAATGTGCACGCAAAAACCTGCATAAGGATATTTATAGGTTTTTTTCATAATTGCCAAAACTTAGCAACCAAGATGTCCTTCATTAGGTGAATGGATATCATTCAGTGATAAAAAGAGCTATCAAGCCACAGAAGATAAGGAGGAACTTCAGGACTTTGATGTCTATACTGAGTAGACAAAGATGCCATTCATTCAGAGAGGGAACACTGAGGAGAGTCGGGTTGTATGTTTATGAATTACACTTCAGACACTGAGTTTGAAATGACTGTGAGAATGGATACAAGGATACGTATGTTGAGACCAACACCTAATGAAGCCGTCTTGAAGTTCTTCCTGTTTTTCTTATAGTCTTCTCCAAAACTTAAAATGTTTCTAGGAATCATGCTTATTGTGAATTCTTAAGAAAACTCAAACTTCTTTCTTGAGAAATATGTTGACTCTATATATAGATACCACTGTATTGGCTAGCATATTGGTGTGTTGATCTTTTGACTTTGATGGGCTTCAAATTCAGGTACACAACTAAAAGATAATTTTGACCCTTCAAGCCTGGGTTTTTTTTGTTTGTTTGTTTTGTTTTTTGAGTTGGAGTCTCACTCTGTCACCCAGACTGGGGTGCAGTGGCCGCTCCTGGCCACTGCAGCCTCGACCTGCTGGGCTCCAGGGATCC